AAAATTAGTTGACAACTGCGTAAGATACATCAATAATTATCTCTCCATATTACAAATGGGAAAAATGGATAGAAAGATTTAGATAGCCCCTAAGATAATCTTTATATGACAGTTCTAATTGGAAATTGCAGTAAAATGATTCTGCCTTTTAGGATCAACCATCAAGAGTAAAGGAACAAACAATCAAGAAATATACTAAAAGATTAGCAATTGGCATAGCAACGATGAAGACCTTGGAAAACCAGATACCATGATGTGTCTATATCTACAAAGATCAATGGTATTCCCTGTGACACCTTATGGAACTGAAAATCGGATTTTGAAGAAGTTGGATAGGAAGCATATTTTCAAATTTGGTGTTGGAAAAAACTTCACGATCATCCAAGAAAACAAAAATGAATTAACAAATAAATCAATCTAGAGTTCTGACTCAAGACACAAATTATCATTCTCAAATTATTGTATTTCGGGCATATGTGTTACCATATTTATTGTGTGAACAACTAGCTCTCTTTCTGATGCTAGGAAAGGAGAAAGGAAAGAGAAGAGGAGGAAACCCAACTGTAAGATGCATAGACACAGCTACAGTAGTTATGAATATCCTGTTAGAAGAACTAAAGAACCATGTGAAGGATAGATTATCATGAAGAAAATCGACTTAAGTGATTGCTAAGACTCACTGCTGATTTGATAGCACATAATCAATTTATTTATAAATAATTAAATAGACCAATCTGACCACGTTATTATCCTTTTGCGTGGTACTTATTATATTCTACTACAATTATCATATTGTGGCATGGCATATCTCATAACTAGGTTTGTATTAAAGTCACATGGATCTTACAGCCTGTCTCTTTCTTTTTAAGACTACTAAGGATTACTGTGCTGACTGATATTTGAATCAGAGATCCTCTAGCATACCAGTCACTTACAATTAGATCTGCTCTCATATTTTATACTCTTAACATGATGCCTATACTGGACTAAATTAACAGTAAACTGTTATGGATTAGCAATGACCAAAGAGGTCATACCATTCACTTTACAGCTTTTACTATGCTATAAAAGAGTCAAATTATCCAATAAGCAATAGCTTGACTTCCTCAGTTAAATGCTGGCTTTGTAGCAGGTCTACTTTATATATCTCATTTAAATAAAACGTTTCTATCAGTGAAAATTGGAAAACTGTCATATGCACATGGAAAATTGAAAAACTGTCAAATGCACATGGATCAAAAGACACAACAGTAATTTAAGTTATACAATAATTTAACATTTTAATACAATATACGCTGTGAATACGCAAATTGATTTATGAGACCCAGATTTTTCAATTAGCAATTGCTATGCGGAAAACTATATTGTATCATACTGAGAAATATAGTAACCAAGTTTTCAAAATCTGTTCTCACTTACAAGATTGATATATACAATCTTGAGATTCCAAAATATCTTTTGTCTAACTCATATAAGGGGAAGGGGTGAACATATTTGACCCAAAATATTCTAAATTTAAATAAAGGATTATATAGCAGAAAATCATTTCTTTTAATATTTTACTTTACAGATTGGCTAGAACTATAACTCCCAACTTTAAAGGAATACAAGGAGTTGTTGTCTTAGCATATCTGGAAATTTGATTTGATCTGAATTGTGTCATTTAGTTATTAAGCAAAGGATTAATAGTATGACTCATGTAAATATGGAATACAACATGCAAATGTTACCTTGGTATTAATAAATAAAACTGAGTTATCCAAAACATTGCAATATTTTGAGTTTATTGACTAATTTGTAATCCTTTCTAGATACATTATCAATTGGTCTAAATTTAAATCAAGGCTAAGTTATCTATTACATTGTTAAAAAAATTTTTTGATAGTTTCAATGATGCTTGAAGGCAATAATGTGCCCTGGACACCTAATAGTTATATATCTCAGATAATGAAATGGAACTAAAATATATTGCTGTTAGAAATAACAATATATAGTATAAAAATAATACTATAAAATCAAAGTTTGCCATTGGAAAATTTAACAACCATGATTAATATATTTCTGAAATACAGTATGTTTTCCTAATGTCAGTGTGCTGTTTTACAGATGTATTTAGAAAAACCTTCTCCATTAGTTTTCACTTATGATGTTTCAATTGTCACAGAAAGTGCAGATTTAAATTTGTTCTATAAACTGAATCTGTTTCTCGGATTAATCAATGGTCATTTTTGCCTACCAGAAACCATTTTTGAACCAGCATAGTACTTTGTAGTTCTACATTTGGGTTGTTGCCTAATATATTTCCCTTCCTATATTTTAACAATATTATTCATCTTTGCTGAACTATATACCAATAGCTTAGAAAATAATAGAAAGAGAGTAGAAGTTGATATTTCCTGTTTATTACCACAAAATATGTATCCTATAAAACTGGAAGGATATCCAATTCTCATCAGTTAGAAAAAGGACAGCTTACCCTTTTATATTTGAATAAGCACTATACTACCAGGAATACTTTTTAAAAAACATATTTTGAAACCTGAACTACATATTAGTCTTAAAAACTACCAATTCAATTGGTTTAAATGTTAATAATTTAATTGTACAACATGCTATAAACATGTAAATGTACCGATTGGTTACATTTTTTAAAAAAAATGCAATGCTTGTCTACAAAAGGAAAAGAAATTCAAAATGCTTAGAATTGAAAATGATACTTATGGTAACAGATGTGGAGAATAGCATAACAGTAGCATTTTAGGCTTATATCCCCCACCCAATAATGTTTTACAGTACTCTCTGTACAATGCTTACAATGTAAGCATTACTTGCATGTTGCCCCCAACAATCTGGTCCTCATTTTACTAATCTCAGAGGGGTGGAAAACTCAGTCAAACTTGAGCCCCATCAGTAGTGAGCCCAGGGCTGTAGGCAGAATCTGCCTGCAATACTACACTTTAACCACTGCACCACAAGCACTCTTGAATCCTTGAATGGTTCTAATGATAGCCCTAAAATAGACTAAACATGAGCAACCTTTTGTTGGCCAAAGACATCACTAATCTCTCTGAAAGACAGGAGTTGCACTACAAACAAGGATGCAAAGAAGATAGGGGAAGCAAAATTTGCAATGGATGGGGATGATATTTTTGTGTGTGTGTGTGTTTGTGTGTGTGTGTGTGTGTGTGTGGTTTATGCAGGATTTTAGCAGTATCCTTCCTTTGCTGTAAATCTGTGTCAAATCTATGCAGTTGTCCGTTTTATTATGAAATATCTACTCCAAATAATGTGAAATCATAAGTCTTTTTTTTGCACGAGACTATATAAAACTGCAGTTAGCATACTGTATGGATGCTATGAAAGAGGTTTAATGGAAAAGGTTCAAGATTTGCATTTGGACCCCTTACACCTATCAGAGGTAGCACATTAAACAAATAAAAAAAATCCATCTGACAGCAAAGAATAGGTCTATTTTTTAAATCAATAACCTGGAAATATTTGCCATTGACAATACTATGTATTGTCAATGGCAAATATGTAATACTGTTCGCAGTATTTTAGTACTAAAAGAACGACTCTTTTCACTTCATCAGAAAAAAAAATCATGTCATAGATTGGCTGAAGAAAATTAAGATAAACTCTATATCCCAAAATACAAAGTGGACAAGTAGATAAACTGAATGCTAACCCAACTATTATTCCAAATAAGACATTTACCGTTTCTCATATATAGAAATCCATTTTCTATTTTTCTGTTTTTATAAAACCGACAAGGCAGAGCAGATTGAAACAAGAAGAAATAATTTAATGTCTAAAGGAAATGCTATAATTGATTTTTCCCCTTTAATATTCAATGAAGAGGGGACAGATTAATGAGAAAAATAAAGATGCTATTTCTGGCCTAAGATCTACAAGGAATATACGCATGCAGAAAAGGTTGGCTTTTATTTACTTAAATCTTCTAACTCTGAATTTCTCCACTAACATGATTTTAAACATTTAAAGCCTGTTTACAGGGAGACTCTGAAAGTAGCTTCAAACCATTATATCCCTAATTGAATTCCCCAGGAGCCTGTTAAATTCAAAGGAATAAAGAAAGAAATCATACCATTTGCTAAATCATCTCTAAGCATTTCTCACTGTGAAGTTCCCTGACCTGTTACAAGCTTGAATTGATGATTGCAACCGAACTGCTGAACCTCTGTTATTTAGATGAAAATCGTATAAAATGCTGCCCAGTTGCAATAAACAAATTAAATCATACCTGCCTTCACTTTTTATCTCTAATTATAAAGAAGGCTTGCACAAAAGAGTAAAATGTGTACATGCTGATGAGAAAGGGCTGAAGAAAAGCGACAGATATATGTAATTTTCCTATAAGAAGCGGGTTACTCTTAACATGCAAATTGGCATGGAAATGGCTCAATAAATTCAAAAGAAAATAGATTGTGGTATACAGAAATAAAAGAAATGTGGTTGTGTGCAGTCAATTATCTCATGTCTCTAGTTAAAATAGATCTGGACTTGCAAAAACCACACGTTTTCCACCTCCATGATATCCTTTTGTGTGTATAAACACAACACAAGGAAAGTCAATCGTAGAATCATATCTTATATCCCCTCATCTACGTTATTTTTATTTTAACTTGCTAAATGTTATTTATTTATTTATTTATTTATTCATTCATTTTCTAACCGCACATTTCCCTCAGAGATAGTCTCTGGGCAATATACAATGTATAATCAATAAAAGTAACATTAAAATCAGAATCAATTTAATGTAAAATTATCAAAATAACATTATAAAATTTAAAAAGGTAAAAAATTCCAAGATGGGGAGGTTAGCAGTTGTTAATACAGGTGGGGGTCTTCTCCTTGGGTTAGCCATACCTACATTTGTTTAGGCTTCTGTGTTCCCCATGCAAGACTGCGCAGCCAGGTTTTGACCCCTCTGCAGAAGGCCAAGATAGACAAGCAGTTGTATATTCTCAGCAACTTACCGGGTTTATAAGTTATTCCTGGGGGGAAAAGAAATCCCTGCTGGGCTGCTGCAGCCGCTGCCAATGTCCGCTGGTCGTGTGGAAAAATTGGGATCATGAGAGGAGGCATGTGACCCTGGACCTGCTAAACAGAAGAGAGTATCTGATCAGAAATTGCACCAATCTGTCTTAACAAATCTCTCATTATCAACAATGGTTCACCAAGCCCTACTGAACCTTTTGGTTATCATAACTTCAGAAGAGAAATGCCATTAGAACCCATGGTATTCAATGTGCTGTATTCACCATCCTTTCAGTATCTTGTTTTAGAAAATACACATGATTTAAAGTTAAAAGAACTTGCCTTTCAATTGAAAAGGTATTATTTGTCATATGTACCTCATTGTAACATATAAGCCATTTCATGCATGTAATCATTTCCATAGTATCTGATAATAACAGAGCATTTTCTAATACATTCCACTATTTTAAATTTCATTTGACTTTCATTGACAGAATTAAAAGCAACAATTAAACATTCAAGTAAAAAGAAAACAGTTTTGTTTTCGGTTTGTTAGACCAGGCATTTGACAATGAGCTAGCAAAGTAGATGCAAATATTCCTTTGAAAAGTTCAGTTTTAGTTGAAATCCTTAATTCATGGTTTATCAAAAAAGAACTAGAAGTATTCCAGTTGAATACTGGGAATACTCCCCCTCACTATTCAGAAACAATATAATATTTTAATTAAAATTGCCAGTAACCTCAACCCAAAAGGATCCTTATGGATCAAAGTAGGAAGTATAAAAATTATTTTATAACCAGAAAAGGGTTTATACCTTGCCTTGTTCCAAATGAATGGCAACAAACTCCATTAAAAAGTCAAAATGAACTTCAAGCACTTTTTTTTTAATTTCAAAAAATAAAATAGCCCTGGTAAAAAAAATCCATATGCTGACCTATGACACTGTTTAAATACTGTCAGATTTTCTTGTCATATCCATGTTCCCCTCCCACTCCCTGATGCAGACCAGAAAGGCTACTGTGTGTACACTTCTAAGAGAGTTAATTTACCAACAACTCTTCTCTGGGGAAAAACCCTAAGATGTAGGTTAATAAAGGTCAAGCAAAAAATATAAACACTTTACAGTATTTTTCAGAATCCATTTCTCAGGAAAATCAACTTATAATAAAAAAGACTTTGTGCAATTACTGCCATGGCAATGGGGCATGAAAGAAAGTAGCTTTGAACAGCCATTTCTTTTATTTTAGCTGAGGTAAGCCTGCTTCTCCAGCAGCATTTGTAATATGGTTAAATTGAAGTTGATCCTCCAGTGTCCAGTACCAACATTCAATAACACAACTAGCTTTAGTCATTCATCCTGGGTCTCTGAATAACTAAAAATCAAATACGGTTTCAGTGTTCAATTGTACTAGGAAAACTATAGCTGCTTGTAAGAATGGGATACAATACTTTTTATAATCACTCTGAGTATTTTCAGCATGGTTCTAAATCAGTTGGATGTAGGCTACTCTTGCAACACAAGGTAACTAGATAGCACAAATAAAATGTCCATAAGAGTTTTTCTTGAGTAACAGGAAACAAGCAAAATAACCACAAATTTGAGAAAGACCCAGATGCATTGTACATTTTTGAAAGTTACTGAGAAATAAAAACATGAATCTACTATTCAAATCCATTTTCTCAGAGTGTGCCAGGGCACCTACTTAAAAATTAAGATGAGATTATGGGTTGGCATTTAACTTTGGAGTATGCCAATTTACCATTAATAAAATCTGGAAAATAAAATAGAGCAAAAAGCAGAGCAGAGGTATCCTTGGGGCATTATGCTACTTATTCCTGCTCTGCATTCCAAAACTATGACACCATTATCCTTGGGGCAACAGGAATTAGTTCTCCTCTCTTGCCAATGTGATACATCATCTGGTGGTCAAGTTTACTGAACAACAATTTTACTGTATGCTCTCTAAATGCTTCTCTCATAATGTGAAAGAATGTGAAAGAAGCCCTAAAATAAGAGGGAGGCAAGAAGGAGAAGCAGCAAGAACAACAAAGTTAATATGAAACAAGACAAATAGTTTATTGAAAAAGGTCATCTTTCAAAACAAAATCCTATCAATAAGGAAAGCTTATATAAAATGATACACATTTGTATGAAACAAATCAAGGTAAGTTGAACACATTAAATGACAGAGATGGCTAAGTCATAGGGACCAAAGACCTCTTGTCCAACCAAAACACTTAGAAATGCCAAGTCAAGAATCAAAGGAACCTCCCTCAGTTTCAAAACAAACAAACTTGCAGGGATGGAGATCCAAACCAGGAATATGACAGACTTTCTGGATAAACTTCAATCAAGCTTTATAGAGGTAGTAAAACCTGATCCCCCAAAAAATCATACTGTACATATTCCTAGGATATTTAATTGCTTCTCTGTTCATTCAATATTTCTGAAAATCAATGTATCAGCCGATGCCAAAGTGTCTCTTTCCTTCACAGCAGCCATACATTTTTGCACCAACACCTTTTTCTTTTTGTCTCCTCTGCTAACTTGAGCAGTTGCCTTTTTATTTTTGCCATCTGCCCTGGAGCTTCATTAAAGATACATGAATGGACTAACTGGCCTGATATCTTGTGAGGAACAGGTGCTATTGTTTGTCCCTGAAGACTTGCACTAAAGATCTGACTCTGAATACTTAAGAAAGAGCATCTGCAGCAGTCAGTCAGAGAGCAACTTGGCAAAGACCTTGCAGTGTGTGATTGAGTACAAACACAGCGACACTCAAGGGGGCTCATTTCTTCTTTCATGAAGATTTAACTATTTTTTTTCTTATAAAATCAGAAATATGTACTGAAAACTTCACAATACTCTTTAAAGCCTGTCAGTGAACACCAGGAGCAAAACTATGAAAGCCAAATTTATTCTGAGTGAAATATAGATCTAAATAAAGGCAGCTGTTGAAGACTTTCCGCATTTACACTGAAAATACAAATGAAATAATCACAGGTTTTTCATGTTTGATGATCAAATGCTAGCCGTTTTAAGTTTTTAATTTCATTCCTAATTAATGATTTAGTTTTAAAGTTATGGGTTATGATTAGATGACTATTTTAATTCTTTCTCTCCCTATATACTTACTATCTACCTATCAATCTAATTTAATATAAAACAGTTGTTGTATGAAAGAAGATGATTAAGCTCATCATCCTACTGAGAATGTAGGTATGAACAGCATTTGTGATGTAAAGATTCATTAAGCTGACCAAAGCTTTGAAATTGATTAATATGGACAATATTCTTAAGTATATTAATAACAGAAATAATCATTTGATGTGTATATAGTATAGTATACCCACAGACACACCCAGAGAGAAACAAAGAGAGAGAGAGAGAGTATAAGAATAGTATTAGTTTCCCCCTTTCTGAACTTTGAATAGGATTTCAATTCAGTGAAGAGGAGACTTGAAATAGATTTACTACTGCAGTTGTCACATAGCTTTATTTTTTTCTCTTTACTGACTGTCCTACTACAAATTTATTTTGGCCACTACAGTAGTTTGCAATGAGTATATCATATCGCCATTAGGAACTGGGAAATTTTCCACTTAACTATTAGCATTCAGGCAGTACTAAAATGCAGGAAGGAAGGGGAAGACAGAAAAATAGAATGGTTTCAATTCTTATTAGACTAGAAAAACTGGAGCCTGTTTACCATTTTTGCTTTTAAATCAACAGGAACCCTTTCCATGTTATTGCCTTGTCATGTTACAGTGGTTTGAATTGCTGGCAGAAACAGCAAAGCAAAGCAGAGAAACAGGATTTGTATAGACAATGTTATCTTCCTCAAAGGCTGGTTGTCCACCTAGCAAGACATGAATAATATCCCACTTTAATTATCTAATTTCATAATTAATGTCATATTCATGGCATGGTAAGACACTTTGAGATTCAAGAACCTAATACGAGTCAGTCTGATCCAGTTGTAAAGGCATAAGGCTATAAACTCGGAAACCATGACTAAACGCTGAAGGCACACAGAATGCTGTTACCTTCCCACCAAAGTGGTCCTTATTTTTCTAACTGCATTTTCAAATCACTAGGTTGGCAAAAGCTGGGACAAGTAATGGAAGCTCACTCTGGGATTAGGGATTCGAACCGCCAAACTGCCAACCTTTCTGATTGACAAGCTCAGCATCTTAGCCATTGAGCCACAGTGATTACATATATATATATATTTAAAGTCACACACACACACACACACACACACA